CGACATCATCTATTCACTCTCTGCACTTTTGAGGCTGATAGTAAGTCAACTCAGTCTCCATCTGATATGAAATAACCAAAGAAATGACAAAAGATTTCTCTATAAATTTTTAAATATTATTCTGATAGTCAATATCAAAACAAAGTACAATATGTGTATCTTGTATTTTTTATACTAGTAAATTTGTGAGAATTCAAGAATGTCAAAATCTAAAATATTACTTTACCTTTCCCTATTGTCCTTCCCTTGCCCAAATATTTTTGATCTGCTTTGAACAAGTAAAATTCTTCAGAGAATCCAGCTGTACATGGTGTAACCTCTTCGCAGGACCCAAAAGTGAAAATCTGAAATATGCAAGTTTATACAGAGCTAAATCACAATAAAAACCACAGTGAAACCATCATTGTCTACATACCTTTAAAGTTCTGCAATGAGGAAGCAAAAACAACCTCCAACTCCCCAAAACCTCAAAATACCGAAGAGAAAAAAATCCTGGACAGTTCATTAGACTGCAAAAAAGTTGCAAATGCATGCTTACCTGGACCAAGTAAATGGTCAATTCCAGCATCCACAACCTGATACTTATCATTTTCTGTGCAGTTTCCAGAAGTCTCTAAAAATGATAAAATATGCATTTTTAGCTGACTGTGGAGTGTTTTTCGAGTTTAATATATGATTATTTACTTTTATGCAGGTTTATATACAGTATGCACACTTAGCTGAACTAACTCTTACCAACCACAAAAAATGAGATGAATACGAATGATCCAGATAAAACTTCGTGTTTACATTTTAAGCAAAAGTGAATGTAAAATTGAAGAAATAAAAAGAGATTAAAGTTGAAAGCAAGAAGGAACAAGAAGCACAGCTTGATGTTACCTGTCACGTCTTGCCTGCTATGTCTCCTCACACCTGGTGAAGCCACACCTCATGCTTGTTTGTCTTACCTCTTGTTCCTGCCCTCATGTTAATCACTTCCAGCTGCCTTTCTGCTTCGTTCTTGGTTGTGTTGGTTGTGTATTTAAGTGCTTATCATGGCTGGTTTCAGTTTTGTGTATTTTTTTTTGGTCACGTCGACTCCCAGGTCCTTCCTCCCACTGGGTATGACAGAATGACGGTTCTCCCCTACAATCCCAGCAGCCTGCACCTTCGCTCCGGCTTGTGCGCTCCCATGCATGCGGCAGAACTGATGTCCTGAGTACCTTGGCTTCAGAATTTGAAGGGTTGCCAGTCCCACAGGTGAGGTGGTGAAGATCAGGCGCCTGCTGATTGAAGTGAGGGGAATTGTCGAGCATGAGGCCACCCACTGGCTCCCCACAGCTGGCCACCGATCCGTCCGCTGACAACTGGCCATTCACCCGTTCACATGGTACATGGTAGTAGCCCAACAAGTGTCTTTCCTGTTAGAATACATGGAGCGGACATGGAAGCTGTTTGGTGACTCCTTCATGCAATGACCTCTTGTAAAGCTGTTAAGCTTTCAAGAAGTTCGCTGTTCAAGTCATGATGAGCACGACTCATTCATTGCATCCTCAGATCCACTGGGTTGCCAATAATTGCGCTTAAGTGTTAAAACTTTCCTTCTAATGGTTTCAAGAATGAGTAACACATCCATTATTCCTGAAAAGAGCAAAGAGAAAGAAAGGCAGAAGTGGCATCATGTAAAATGAACTTGACCAATAGCACTTGTTTTTTATGCTAAGTTTTACTGATCAAATACAGCTGTAATATATATAACCATATTTCAAAATTGGAGTCATGCCTTTCGTTGGTTCAAATTGCAGATCTGCTACAGTATTTTAATAGGTAGCTGTCAACCCGGTAATTACACTAATACATTTCCTCTTATGAACTGCCACATAGGAGGCGTGTTGGGGCATGGTTTTAACTGCCTGAGTTTCGACCAAGAAGAATTGTATTGCAGATATCTAGAATTGAAATTGTAACTCGCAAAAATGTAAATATGACAAGTCAGAAATATTTTCTAACTAGTAAGAAGTGCATTATTGAGATCAATAATATTGTTTTCTATTAGCAGGGGTGTTTCTAGCTATTGGAAAAGTCAGGGTGCTAAGTCAAGTTTACCTGATCGAGGCTTGATTTCTTGATTTCTTCATCTTACTTTGCACAGAGGGCTCATTTTGGGCATGTTTTCATGGGTGAGGCTACTTGTTTATCTCATGAAACTGAGACTTGGCATCCGCAGTGGCAGTGTGACTTCAGGTGTTCTGACCTGGCAAAGGTGGCATCCTGTAACAGTACCACGCTTGAACTCACTGAGCTCTCCAGAACGACCCATTCTTTCACCAGTGTTTGTTAACCTGACTGCAGACCAGACTCTACTCTCTGAGCAGGCTCAGTCTGCAGTGGCCGGCATGGCTTTCTAGTGTGTGACCTGCTGTGGAACTGACAGCAGTTCAGGCAGTGCCAAATGCCTAAACTCACTGGAGGCAGTGACTGAGAAGAGAATGTTGGCGAAATACTAGGCATAGACAATTCTGCCCAACAATTTTAGGTTGCATGGTGTGCTTAGGAAAAAGGTTCTGGGCATTGTTCCTGCCTGCTGCCGTCAGTCACCCTCCCCTTCCCCACCCCCAACTCCAACACCTCAGGAAGCGTCCTGTTTTGTTACAGGGAAGGTCTGATGCTACCTGTTCTAATCGCACATTCAACATCTGCTAATTTATTTTTCTTATCTTTAAATGTTGCTTTATGTCTGTACTATGAAGATAATCTGTTTTCAGGACATTTTATTTGTGTACTGTGTACCTGGGTAAATTTCTATACACATGCATGCACATGCACATACATATGCTTTTTAGATATACTTCACTTATGGGTACTGTCTTTGCACCTTGTCTTATTGGCACTATATGTATGTCCATCTGTACATTATGTTCTCGTTGCTGTATGCAACAGCGTTTCCCACTGGGATCAAGAAAGTCCATCTTAAATTTGGCATAATTTCTTTGCACTCACACTCCAGGCCGGTAGGGGGCGATGACGATAAAGCGAGAGGTTAGGCTCTCGACGTCAAAGCAGGGGGATTGCAGAGCTATAGTTGCGTCCATACTTATTATTATTTATTATTATATATATATTATATAATTATTTCTCAAAAATAGTTAGGTTACCGCATAAGATTAAAGGGGTTTTATTAAAATAGGGATGCCGGGGGGGACGCTCTTGGAGAACGCCAACCCGCTTATCTTTCAGCGGTCTGGGGAAAGGCCGGTTACTCTAGAGGAAGAAGATGAAAACTTTGCAGATCCCATCGATGACAGGGAGGTGTTCGATATCCTTGACGTTTTACCCACGGAGCTAGTTATGAGTATAATTTTTTTTATTAGGATATGTCGTGTATCCAGGTGGTACATATCTGACTACGGTACTGCGTCATTCTGCATTCTGGTGTATTGATCGATTCATAAGTGTATCGTAATGCAGTATGCTTTATTTGTCCTTAATGCATTGTTCAGTTACACCTTATCAGGTCCATAAATGACCCCGAACATCCGCTTTCACTCGAGGAGCTTAATGTTGTGGAGGAGATGAGAGTTCATGTGAGTCTGCCTGCCTCTGGTCGTTTTGCGCACACTATGTATCGTAAACTCTTAGAGAATTGGGAGAGCGCAAAAAACGTGGACCGTCTAGGGGTTCCTGAGGACTAGTTTAAGAAACACTGTTCTGTACTATATTAATAATGTCCCGATACTGTTCTTTTGGTTTACACAATAGCATATTTAAAATGCAGGTCTGTCAAGAAAGTAGTAATGGCGATGACTAAGGGTTACTGCTGGTTAAACACATTATGTGGATTTCCCACTGAGCAGGTGAATGACCAGGCGAGTACAGTCGGAGTGGAGTTCACGCCCACGATCCCCCACTGCAGCATGGCTACCCTGATAGGCCTGTCCATCAAAGTCAAACTGCTGAGATCGCTGCCTGATCGTTTCAAGGTACATGGAACCAACACTATAAACTCAGACTGTATGAATTGCTAAAAACACTTTTCCTGAAACCTTCCACCCTTTTGTGAAAATGGTAAATAGAAAACTCAATCTTCAAACAACATTCACAAAAACTTTGACTGCCTTGCAAAATCAAACCCTGTCTTAGCTTAAAACCAAACACTGCCAGTCAAGTGTTTCCTGTGGATGTGGTCTTTTGTATGTTGAGTTGCAGAATCGGAAACCAACTGCACAAGACTAAAGAAAAATGTATTGTTTAGCAAAAATGTTTGTATTCAACTATTCATAAAGCAGTATGAATTGTTTGCAATATTCCACAAAAAAGTTACCATATAATAAAAAAAATACCATATAAATAAAAAGTAATATATATATATATATGTGTGTGTGTGTGTGTGTGTGTGTGTGTGTGTGTGTATATATATATATATATATATATATCCAAATGAAAGGCACATTACAAATGATCCATGTCAAGCCAACTATCAAGGAAGAATATTTCTTTATTTATTCTGTCGTCTCATGGTATCTGTAGGCTGTCAGGCCTGAGAAACATTGTCTACTTCAAAAGTAATATTGCAAGGCAAGGAGGGAAGGATCCCATGCTCTGACATCCACCCCTAGACATCAACCTTGCACTTGCACTCTCATCTGGCATGGTTTCTGTTCTGTTCATTAATTGACTTTTTCACGTATTTAGGAATGCGTGAACAATTTTGAGTCATAGTATTTAAATGATGACAGCTGTGTGCCGGTTGTGTTTAAGCTCTGCGGCCCGTGTTTATCATTTCGCATCAAAGTTCGCCAGAGTCCAAAATGCACCTTGGTGAATGAGAATGTTTTTGGAGTTCTGCAAAAAGGGAGCGAATCAGATCTGCAGATTGTCTGAACGTTGTTTCAGGTTTTGCCAAATGAATGATTGGTCCGATGACTTTTGTTAAATGACGGTTTTCTTCCAAGAATGGGATTTAGTGTTTTAGTATTTCATAAAAACTAAAACAGAGTTCAGTTGGCCTGGATTTTGTGGTCTTGCACGTGGGTTAGTTAAGTATAAAAACATCAGACCAGTTTATAATGTATGCATGTGATTTTTCTGTTCTCCAGATTGATGTACACATCACACCTGGAACTCACACTGCTGAGGAAGCAGGTAACACGTCCTTCTAGTAAGCAGGCACCTGACCCTAGCTAAAGGCATCTTCTTTAAATAATACATACTGTTAATAACACACAGGGCAAAAATCTACATCTATCAACGTATGTTCTCAGATCTGCTAGGCTTGCATCTGGCTATTCCATTAGCGAGTCCTGGACAGTTTTCATTTCTCATCTTTGGTGTCTTCTCCAGTTAACAAGCAGCTTGCAGATAAGGAGAGAGTGGCTGCCGCTTTGGAGAACTCGCATCTCCTGGAGGTGGTGAACCAGTGCCTCAACACCAAGCCCGCGTGACCATGCCAAGCATTTTATTTTTCTCCAAAATGTCCCCTTTACAGTTTTTTTCCTGTTGTTTGGCACAGCTTTTTGAATTTCGTATTGTGAATAAATAAACTTAACTATGTTTATTAACTAAATACTTGTGCACTGGTCTGAATTATATTCATGCTTTAATTAGACTTCTTTTTAAAATACAGTGGTACCTGAGTTCTCGAACTCATTAGAACTCGAATTTCTTAGAAGTTGAACCAACCAGTTTGAAAAAAAAATTACCTACAGCTCGATCTGAATCTCTGAAGTCAAACCGTGAACGCTGACCTAAGATAACGTTCACCAGGGGAAATGAGTCACGCGGTATGTCTCTCAGCGGAAACAAAGGGTAAAGCTTCAGTCTCAGCCTCGCATTCGTTGTGATAGCACCGTGCATGTCTACACTAACTGAATACATATATTTAGACAGTAAAAATACATTTAGACAATGATAGACAGTAACAGTAATTATTAATATATAATAAAAATACATTTAAAAATAAAGATTTCTTATTAATTATTTTAATATTAATAATAAACCATTAATACGTTTAATTATAATAATATTGTTGTGCTGAGCGAGGACGGAACGGAGACAGGCGCAGACGTCAGGGTATCGGGGAATACGGGATTTAATTACAGGTAAGGCTGGTAAAACGCAGACGGACAATACAATGATCGGACTGGGGAAACAAACTGAAACGCGGACGAAATACAGAGGACTAATGACAACAACCAGAAACAGCTGATTGCACGGGGATTCAACACTGGGTTTCCACACGGGGTTAACGAGGGGGCGTGGCACACGGAAGAAGCGGACGATGGGGCAGGACACATTGGTTGGATATTTATTTTCTTACTTTACAAATTACTATTTTGATAACTGTGCTTAGATGTGTTTAGTACAGTATATGCTCTTCTTGTTTTGTAGGTTCATTTTGTGTTTAAATGCAAAAAAAACATTTAGGTGTAATTTTTTGGGGCCGAGAACCAATTGGTTTTCCATTATTTCTTATGGGGAAAATTCGATCACAACTCGAACTTTTTAGGATTCGATCCGGAGTTCTGAATGGACTAAATTCGAGTTCTGAGGTATCGTTGTATGTGTGTATGACCCTTCCTCTATATAAGTTTATTGAAATAACGCGTATTGCATAAAAAAAAACCCTATTGTGGTACTTGTTTTCGGGTAGCAGAGTGGCGCAGCGGAAGCGTGCTGGGCCCATAACCCAGAGGTCGATGGATCGAAACCATCCTCTGCTAATTTGCTCATCTTTTTAAACCGATGGTTTCTATATACGCCTTAAGACATTACGTTAAATATGATTTAGATATATTTGTCTAAAGATTAAAATGAGACGGTTAAGTACAAATCATACAGTTTTAAGGTTTAGAGAATAGAATATCTTTCCCTTTCTACATATCAGCGCATCCTGTTTTACTGCGGCGCCAAACAGTGCATCCTTGCATTACATTTAGTGCTTGTTCAGGAGAAGGATCGAGCTCCCTCTTCCGGACAAATGCAATTAATACATACACCCTTCTGGATGGAAAGCGAATCTGCAAATAAGCGCGGACTTGGTCTGTGATCAGACGCGCGGCAAGGCATCGCCTCCTTGCAGTCATTTCTTTACTTATGTATACTTGATATAATGTATATATAGTGTGTATATGTATCCATTTGTCAATCTAGAATACACGCATAAATAAAACTGGAGCACGTTGCACGAGAGAAATATAAGGCACTGTTTCGAGAGGAACTGTGCATATTTGCTTTTTTGTCGGATTGCCTGTGATAATATTTTGAAGTTAATGAAAACCATCAAACGGCTATTACTTTAAGAGCTCAGACCTTTATTGAAGAACCTCCTGGACCCTGTACCAGGGGTAGACAGGGGCGTCACGCAAGACAATATTTGCAAAATTTGAAAAAAATAATAACGCGATTTTCTGTAATTTGACAGGACTGGAGTTTACTGCATTTTTATAACACTGCCGAAAATTCTCCTCTGCGTCTTGACCTGGAGATAAATGGAATTCAGTGTTTAGCTAACTAAAACCTGTGATAGTGGTGGTAACTTTCAGCTCACTGTCGTGATACTGCACGTGGGGAATACTTACTCATTTATCTGATGCTTTATCCAAAGCGATTTAGGGTTATAATTTATGCCCCCCAGAATGTGAACACACACTCTTTGGCTTGTTAGCACAATGCTCTACTTACTGAGCTACAGGAACAGAAAGATGTCCTTAAGTAATTAAGTAACTACCTAACAAACAAGTGGCAGGTTGTGAGGCTTCGGGAGTCAGAAATTATCAGTATCAGAGCAGTACCCTGTCAATCTATGAATACAATTTATTAAACAATGTTTTGAAAGAAACGAAGATAAACATCAGCTTTTCTTTTATTGATTATGGATAACACTTCTAGGTCACTTACATTTCAGGCATTTTAAAGATTGTTTTCTGTTACCAGACCAATTTTAATCTGACCAAAATAGAAAATATATTTCCATTTTTTTTTAGCAAATGGCAAATCAGCATGCTCAGTCTGTTTATTCTGAGACTGAACATTAAAAGTTGCCTTTATAATCTTGACATTTCCTAAGTGTATCTTGATATTTATAAGTACAAGATATCACACGTGGTTCTGTGACCCTCAGGATTCTGTGACACGCAGGATTAAAACCTGGAATCATATCAACCAGTGGAAGATATTTACTATCAATTAGCAGATGCTTTTGTCCAAAGTGACGTGCAAGTGAGGCAAATAGCACATTACAAACACACACATTACAAACACACACATTACAAATACACACATTACAAACACGCGCACAGTCTAGATGTCGATTAGGCGTAAGTGCAGCTAGGCTGAGCTTCCAATGAATACCCAGTTACAAGTGTGAGCAGCATTGGAGCAGGAGCTACACATCATTTAACAAAGCCTGAACCTAATAATACTATTCAATGTCCTAAAGTGCAACATTAAGAACAGTCAGGCAACATCGAAAGGCATCAGGTTAGTAGAGGGATTCCTAGAACCGATGGTTCCTGGGGCGTTTTTTGAAGGTGGAGAGGGAGTCTGATGACCAGATGTGGTTCAGCAGCTCATTCCACCATTGGGGAAGCACACATCCAAACTGTCTGGGGTGACACTTCTCATGTAGTTGAGGTACCTCCAAGCTGTCGGTTTGCTGCCTGAAGAGGGTGAGATGGAATGTAGGTCTTAGGGAGCCTCTTGATGGAGATAATGGATCTGAAGACCAGCACCAAGGAGTTGAACTTGATGCGAGCGCCTATAGGAAGCCAGTGAAGAAAGCCAGTGAAGAAAGCCAGTGAAGAGAGACCACTAAAAGCCGCTCATCCCCATATAATAAGTACAGATCTGTAAGCGTAGGTGCTGCAGCTCGCATGCAAAAGCCTCGTACATAATGCGGGAACTAAAGGCAAGGGCGACAGAATGGTGATGACTCACGTAAAAGTCCAGTGTTGATGACTGACATGCACTCGCAGTGCTATTAGCATTGAAATAAGCGTTGACACCTCTGCTATACATGTGTTAATGAGAAAGAGAGAGTACTCAAGCTGGGCTGAGTGGGAGATTTTCTCAGTAATGTCCATTTGAATAGTCAGGTGGAATTAAAGTAAGAAGGAGTGGATACCCTGGGGAGGGAGGGCTTGTTGTTCACCAGACATTAACGTATTGTACACACACATCGCATTGACATTCAGAGGGCTAGTTACTCAAGCACAGAAGAAAGATATCCCCACCCCCATCCCCCCAGCAAAAATAAAATAAAATAAAAATACGAAGGCAACAGGACCACATCATCTGCAAAAAAGCAAAGACGCGTTCCTGAGGTCATCGAACCGGACCCCCTCCGCCCCTTGGCTATGCCTAGAAATTATATCCATAAAAATTATTAACAGAATCGGTGACAAAGGGCAGCCCTGGCTTTCAAGAACTCAGGGTGAATGCCATCCACCTCTAGAGCCCTACCACCGAGTAGTTGTTTGAATACATCAGTGACCACAGCCTAAGAGAGGCAAGTCCTCCATACTTCCATTTGAAATTAACTGTTAAGTGGGTTTTACGCGACACTAATAGGCTAGCTGTACACAGTTAAATGCCACTGGGTGTAGTTGAATTTATAACCAACAGATGGCGACACCACCATGAATGGTTTAAACTTCAAAAACATAAATACGGTAGCGCGGGGAACCGTCGGGCGGCGCGGGGAGGTGAACCGGTGCCGGTTGCGTATCAAATAAATAGCCGTGTGTAGTTAGTCAATTGTGTTGTCATTGTGGTGTTTAATCTTAGTGTCATATATAGTGTTTAATGTTAGGTCTTGTACTGTAAACGGTTGTGTTCGGACAGAACTATCTGGCCTCCTTCTTTCTCCCATAATGTTTGGGTCTGCGAAGCTATAATACTACTTACTGTTGTATTGTATTACATTAAAAGTCTAATAGCCTACTATCTGTTGATTGCTGGTAAAAAAATATCGTATATGAAGCCAGCGAAGAACGAAAATAAAAAATACATATTAATTGCACAGCGCTCCAAATTTACACTAGGCCAATGTTTTTTCTATCATTTTTTATTTTGGAATCGTGTACTTACAGAATCGTTTATAAACTTTGAGCCGCTAATGCTGTTGATCAGAGCCCCCCCCCCCCAGGTTCGTAATTCGCGTGGAGACTGAACCCGACATATATAAATAGCCTAACACGTACATGTAGGCTACCAATGATTCAAGGGTTTTATTTGTCAAGCTATAGATTATTATGTGCAATGCTTTGGCTTGACAGTGCGATGTATATCTGTCAGGAAATCGTGCCTCTAAATAGATGACTGATGTGTACGATCATAGTCAGATGCTCAGTGCGCTGGTCATTACGGTCGCGGTAATACGCCGGTTAAGGATCGGCTCCGCATTACATCAGCGCCGGGGGAGCTGGGCAGGGAGAGCCCCTAACCCGCCCCCGGCTTTCTGAATCACGTCTCACAAAGCAGACTGATCTGCCGTCCCCCCCCAGCATGATGTTACTATCTATAAAGAGGCAAACCCGGCCTCGGTTTGACGTCAGGGATCTGGCC